AAGCTGTCTTAAAGCCCCAGTGAGCCAGAGGAGAGTCCCTCCCACCACCTGGATCAACAGGAGGAAACTGAATGGCTGCTGTGCAGCCTGGGAAAGGAAAAAGACTTCTGGGAGTGACTTGAAACTATGTGAGATGTAGTCCCCAGGAGACATCCCTCTATCAAGCCAAAGACTGGATGTGATTACATGTCCTAGCAGGACAGAGAGCTGCAGGTGGAGGAAAAGTAAATAGAGAGTCCAGGGCTCAGGGCAAAGCTGTGGGCAAAGTGAGAGGTGACTATCCGAGTGGACTCCTGTGTTGAAGCGCTGCCTGCTATGCTGTTTGTCATGGTGTTGGAGAGCAAGAGACTAGGCTGCCACATCTACGTGGAGGTCACAGCTGCCAGAGGGTGTCACTGGTTCTATGAGAGACTGCCATTGCCAGGTCCTGAGTCACCTCTGATGTCAGCAGTTCCATGAGTGATCACCATTGCCAGGTCCAGATCATCGCCAACATCATTGGTTGTGGATGCTAGAGAACAGGAGGAATCATAATCAAAGACTACTTGGTGGTGAAAAGCCACTTGCCACAACTTCCCTGTCTGCGATTTAAAGGGACAGTGTTGTCCCCAACTTGGGATATAATTTGGATACTTACGCCTGTACTGTGGGATTCAGTTTTACCTGAATTCTCCAATGTAGGAACTTTGGGCGCCAAAGGTTAAAATACACTGACCAGTGGGGTTTAGAAAGACTAAAGCACCTTTAAATTTTCGTACCGCTCCTAGTTTCAAGGTTCAGTTGCTGAGACTTTCAGTCCTTTTATTATTTGTCGTGTTGTAACAATGTACTAACTGTTATTGTTTGATGTTTTTACTTTGCTGCTTTACTGGGAATAATTCTCAAATAAATTCACCTTACTTAACCTTGAGGGTGTGTCCTTGGTGGAAAGGAGCCAAACATTATACGTTTTTTTTTAAATTCTAACAGAAACCTTATATTTGCCTACAATAATGTGTGCACACAATTCTTTGTAAAGCTGACAAGATGAGGATTGTTTTTTATCAGAAAAAGTTAATGTGTGCATTCATTTGAACCAGGGCCGGACTGACCATTTAGCCACTCGGGCGCTGCCCAAGGGCCCAGGGTCAGTAGGGGACCCCATGAGATGCCCCTGGTACCTTTCATTGGCTTTTTCATAGGCTTTTTTGGGTGTGGGCGAGGACACGGGGGCCCCATAATCCCCTATTGCCCGGGGGCCCCATGAGTTGTCAGTCTGCCCCTGATTTGAATATTAACTGTAAACTCTTTCAAAGACATAGACTGATGTGAAAGACTACTGTATATGTAGATTGTTAAACTCAGTGGAGTGAGTCATCACCATATAAATGTCATTATTAGAAGAAGGCACTTCCATGAAGATTGGCTCAGCAATACATAGAGGGGCTAATTTTATCACATGTATTCAATGTGTCCAGCTTAAAGGCCTAATACTGATTAGGTGATGATTGACATACTGCAGATAGGGTTCAGCAGATACAACAAATGTTATTATGTCAGCTCCTGTTAATCTTCTCCTTACTTGCATGACTTGAGAAAATGCCTCTAGGTAACAGAGACTCACCTGGATCCATTTACTGTGATCAGCCAAGCCAGACACCCAGCATAGCGTTCCCCATTCCTTTGCAGATGTTGATTTTGTCCAGCTCGGCTATTGTGTTGTTTACATTTGCATGCAGCTCTATTGCTAACCTTTCCATCTACTCATTGCCGTGGGATTAGCTTGATCTTAAACCTCAACACTGCACATAAATATCTCTTTGACAGCTGAATAGCCGGGTTTGAATTGTAATTGTTTCCTAAGAACATGAATTTATTGTTCTAAAACAAAGTCAAGGCTAAGTGTAGAAAATAATGACAAGCTATTTCTGAAAGCATGGAGAAAAAAAAGAGAAAATTACAAAAAACTGAAGGAAGGAGGAAAGGAGAAGGTAAGGGTTTGGAGGAGAGGAAGAAAATAAAGAGGGGAGCAGAAAAGAGTGGGCAAAGGAGAGAAAAAGAGAGGAGAGAAGTGGGTATGAGGGAGGAGAGGAAAGATGAAAAGAGGAAAGGGGTGGGGATGGGAGAAGAGGAAGAAGGTTAAAAGGACAGGGAAGGGGAGAAAAGGGGGGAGAGATGAGGTAAGCAGAGGGTGCAAATTAGTGGATGAGAGGGGAGGACAGGGAAGGTGAGTGATGAAGTGTGGAAGGAAAAGAGAAGAGACAGGTAAGTAGAGGAGGAGAGACAGGAAAGGATGGGGTATTGGAGAGTTGGAGAGGCAAGAGGAGGGGAACAGAAGGGAAAGGGAGGTAGAGAGCAGAAAGGATAGGAATGGGAGGCAAGAGTAGAAGAAAAGAGAGAGGAGCAGCCCAGAGAATGATCAAGTAAAAAGGGAGTCAAAAAAAAGAAGAGGAAAGCAGGACGAAGCAAAGTGTATAGAAAGAAAAAAGAGTGAGAGGTGAGAAAGAAACAAGAAGGGGAGAGGAGCGGGAGAGAGAGAAGGAGAGGAGTGAAAGAAAAAGAGGAGAGGGCGATGGAAAGGAGAAGGGGAGAGGAGAGGAGGAGAGGGCAGGAAAGGAGAGAGGAAGGAAGAAGAGGGAGAAGGGAGAAGAGGAGTGAGAGAGAAGAGAGAGAGAGAGCGAGAGAGAGAGAGAGAGGGAGGGAGGAGAGGGGAGAGAGAGAGAAGAAGAGGGGAGGAGAGAAAGAAAGAGAAAGAGAGAGAAAGATAGGGGAGAGGGGGAGATAGAAAGAGAGGGGGGGGGGGAGAAGAGCGGAGAGGAGGAGAGGAGAGAAAAGAAGAGGAGAGAAGAGAAAGAAGAAGAGGAGAGAAAGAAGGAGAAAGAAAGAGAGAGAGAGGGAGAGGTGCGGGGAGGAGAGGAGAAGGGAGGGGAGGAGAAAAAGAGAAGGGAAAGAGAGGGAGAGGATAGGTGAGGGAAGAGGAGAGAAGATGAGAGGAGAGGAGTAGGAAGGGGAGGAGAGGAACCTTGGAGAAAAGAAGAAAATATAAGAGGGAAGAGGGATTATTAATTATTTAAATTCTTTCCCCCTTATTCCAGCACAGGGTCTTGATGCCTTCTTTTAAAAGTAACAGGATATATTAAAACATTGCTGGTTGCCATGGGGATCTATAGACACGGTACCCAATCTGTGTCTACAGGAATATTCTCTGAACAAGTCTAAGCAAGGACGTGTATTACTCCCATGAACAGCATGCTCTGAGAAGGCTTTCATGACATCTATAAATGTCACCAACAAAAATATTATTTCAAAAATGGTTATCATTATCAACTAATCAAAACATTTCTTCCACGGATATCCTAGCAACAGTCAGATAAAAGGTACCCTATATATGTAGCAGGCTGTAATGTGCCTCACTGATAAAATGTTGGATTCATCCAGTCTTTAATACAGCAATAAATTCCAGGAGTAAAAAATCATAAAAAATGATGTAATCAGCGTGGACATTTAACTAGGCGAGCCAGGGAGGCCCTTGTGAGAGGGGTAATTTAATCATTGACAGTAAGCCACCAATCAACCTATCTGAACATTTGGACAGTAAGATAGCAGCGACTATGTAACTTTCTATTTCGCATTCAAATAGAAAACTTTATAAAACTATTTACTTTCGCATATTTCTTGTAAAAGTTTGGCTCATATTCTTTTGGCTGATAAAAGATTTTTTTTTTATAAAAATGTTAAACAAGATAAAGTTACACCAAGCCTGAAAACTTGTTTACAGAAAAACAAACTTTATTTTCCTGTTTACTGAATTCAGATAAGCTGCAAATAAAAATTCTATGAGAAATAAAAAGACAAAAAAACACAAATATAGGGAGAAAGGGAATGTAGTCAACTATTTTGTGCCTTTTTTTATAAGTTTAGTTTCAGATGTGAAGTTTTAACAAACAACTAAATGGACAAGTTGGTACAAAAGTTTAAATGGAATTGTGGGATGTTGTTGCTATCAATTAACACCCCAATTGTTGTGAAAATGACAACTAGTTATATCGCTGTCGTTTCCAAAAAGGTAAAGTTATTGTTATGAGATGGAATATAATGGTAAGGAGATACTTTTATACAACCAACTCCAGGAACATTTTAAGTTATCCTTTTCAGTGGGGCTGCATCTTCACTACAAGGGCTAAGTGCTCGTTTTGTCTAAGGGAGAGGATTTTATTTTTAATATTTTTTATTAAAAATAGGGGTTAAAAACACTCCACGAGGCCAGCAATGTAGCAAGCATGCCAGGATAGGTGGGGGGGGGGGTGTCTTCCGAAATAGCTCTAGCAGGAACACGATGAGCTCTTTCCACAGCGTAGAGGGGAGAAAAGGAGTCTTTACCAAAAATGTCCAGCAGCCATGTTTCAATGAAGGTAGTTGGGTCTCTATTCGTCTGGCAGACCAACTATGCGGACATTGTTTCATCGCAATCTGTTTTCAATGTCATCCATTTTATTCGTGACGACATGTAATTGGCGAGTCGTTGCACAGGTTTCAGCCACCAGTGGGTGCATTTAATCTTCCAAATCACTGATGCAACTTTCAGCCGCAGTTGTGCGTTCTCTAATCTTTTGAAGGTCCTGGCACAAAAATGATGCCTTCTCTGCAAGCCCCCCTAATTGCTCCTTCATCGATTGCACCGAGGCTGTGCATTTATTCACAGCCCTCAGGATATCACTCAGAGTAGGTTGCTCTCTTCCATCCTGGGTCTCAGCATCCTCCCTTGCCATGTCTGCGGCCATCTCCAATATAGCAAATAGGTCAGGGCTGGGGACAGTAAAGTCCACTTCTCCCGACAGCTCCGAGCAGCCCTCCCCAGCTCCAAAATCTGTGTCATATCAGAGAGTTTATGTGTAATACTAAGAATATTACCATCTTTACAGGTGGAGCGGTCGCTCTTTCCAGGTTTACTGCCAGGCTCTTTGGATCTCTCAAGGCCACGAGGAGTCCTCTGTGAGAGTGCTCCTGTGCTATGTTGAGCCCAGGGGTGGACTGACCATTTGGGAACTCGGGCACTGCCTGAGAGCCCGGGGTCAGTAGGGGGCCCCATGAGATGCCCCTGGTACCTTTTCATAGACTTTTTTGGGTGTGGTTTGAGTGTGGGCGAGGACACAGGGGCCCCATGATCCTCTGTTGCCCGGGGGCCCCATGAGTTGTCAGTCCACCCCTGCTTGAGCCTCCAGGGCCATGGCTTCTTCTTTAGATTTATGAGTCATCATGCGAGCAGGCCACCCTAGTCAGGTATCCGCAGAGAGCTGAAGCCGAAAAGAAGGCAGTGGTGGCGGTAAGAGTGCAGTACAATTCCAGGGGAAGGTTCGGTAGAGGATCAGAGCCGGAAGCAGGTCCACTCATATGCTGGTTGGCCACGCCCCCTTATTTTAGAATTTACTGAAATTATTTTTGTTTGTGGACTGACTTAAGGTTTAGATACAGAATTCCTGTTTAGCCTTTGAAACCCATTTAATCACATATTTTGTCAGCAACAAACACATATACAGTATATATACGTTTAATTGCTGAATGTTCATTTCAGCAAATGCTAAGACTACAGACAAATGTAATAAAGTCACTCAATCATGTAACATGTATGTATCAACCATAATGGCATCTACATCATTAAAAATATATTTAATAGTTTAATGATTGATGCCCAAAAGCATGACTGTAGCGTACATCATAAATCAAAGTATATGTGTCATCAACATAGTTTTTATATAATTTAGAATGGGTCGTTATGATAATTGCTTAAGAAGAAAGAAAAACATATGCTAAATGCATTATGAACTTGTGTGAAATAATACCAAAACATTTAATTAAGATTGGTAGTGTGTTAGGAACAGTGTTTGGGAATTATGCAGCAAAACTCGCCTTTGTTCCCTTTTTTCTGTTGGTAAGACAAGTTTATGCTCTACATTAAAACTCACCTACCCTTCCCCACCTACCTAATAATTGTTTAATAAGAAATGAACTCAATCATGTACAGTATATATATGTGACTGAGGCTGCACATGCGCATGCGAAGACAGACCACTGGCCGGGCAGATGTGCACAAATGTGTGCATAGCCTGGGCACGTGCGTACTTGTGCAATTGGGCGCACACCTGTAACCAAGGCTGGCGCCAAACTGCCTTTTTAAACAAAGCTACTGCACTGGCTAATTGCTGTTTGGTCTGCAGCTTCTGTGTGTGTATATCTTGAGTCCTGTGTTTCACCACTGATCTTGATCCAGCTTGATTCTGACTCCACTTGTTTTCTACCTGCCCTGATCTCAACTTGTTCCCCAGATTCTGCCTCTGCTTGACCTGCCTCCAACGTTGCTGACACTGGCCTGTGACCCGACTTTTCTCCTGTCTGCTGTCTTATGCTCGGTCTGCCTGTCTGTTGCCAACTTGGCTTGTCTAACCCTGCATCCTGCTCATCCAGCCTGTTACAGCTCTGCAGTCCAGCATGTACATCTGTCCGCTACCAGCCTGTCCTGCTGTGACATCTGCCTGCTACCTCCCTGTCCACTACCAGCCTGACCTGCTGTGACATCTGCCTGCCACCACCCTGTGACTACTACCAGCCTGTCCACTACCAGCCTGTCCTGCTGTGACATCTGCCTGCCACCACCCTGTCCACTACCAGCCTGTCCACTACCAGCCTGACCTGCTGTGACATCTGCCTACTACCACCCTGTCCACTACCAGCTTGTCCTGCTGTGACATCTGCCTGCTATCAACCTCTTATGCTCAATCTGCCTGTCTGTTGCCAACTTGGCTTGTCTAATCCTGCATCCTGCTCATCCAGCCTGTTACAGCTCTGCAGTCCAGCATGTACTGTACATCTGTCCTCTACCAGCCTGTCCTGCTGTGACATCTGCCTGCCACCACCCTGTCCACTACCGGCCTGTCCACTACCAGCCTGTCCTGCTGTGACATCTGCCTGCTACCACCCTGTCCTCTACCAGCCTGTCCTGCTGTGACATCTGCCTGCTACCAGCTGTGACATCTGCCACCACCCTGTCCTACTGTGACTGTCTACCTGCTACCACCCTGTCCACTACCAGCCTGTCCTGCTGTTACATCTGCCTGCCACCACCCTGTCCTCTACCAGCCTGTCCTGCTGTGACATCTGCCTGCTACCAGCCTGTCCTACTGTGACATCTACCTGCTACCACCCTGTCCACTACCAGCCTGTCCTGCTGTTACATCTGCCTGCCACCACCCTGTCCTCTACCAGCCTGTCCTGCTGTGACATCTGCCTGCTACCACCTGCCTGTCCTGTACTGCTGTGACATCTACCTGCTACCACCCTGTCCACTACCAGCCTGTCCTGCTGTTACATCTGCCTGCTACCAGCCTGTCCACTACCAGCCTGTCCTGCTGTGACATCTACCTGCTACCACCCTGTCCACTACCAGCCTGTCCTGCTGTTACATCTGCCTGCTACCACCCTGTCCACTACCAGCCTGTCCTGCTGTGACATCTACCTGCTACCAACCTTTCCACTACCAGCCTGTCCTCTACCAGACTGTCCTGCTGTGACATCTGCCTGCTACCAGCCTGTCCACTACCAGCCTGTCCTGCTGTAACATCTTCCTGCTACCATCCCATCTACTACCAGCCTTTCCTGCTGTGACATCTGCCTGCTACCATCCACCCATCTACTACCAGCCTTTCCTGCTGTGACATCTGCCTGCTACCACCCTCCACTACCAGCCTGTCCTCTACCAGCCTGTCCTGCTGTGACATCTGCCTGCTACCACCCTGTCCACTGCCAGCCTGTCCTCTACCAGCCTGTCCTGTTGTGACATCTGCCTGCCACCACCCTGTCCACTACCAGCCTGTCCTCTACCAACCTTTCCTACTGTGACATCTACCTGCTACCACCCTGTCCACTACCAGCCTGTCCTGCTGTGACATCTGCCTGTTACCAGCCTGTCCTACTGTGACTTCTACCTGCTACCACCCTGTCCACTACCAGCCTTTCCTGCTGTGACATCTGCCTGCTACCATCCTGTCCACTACCAGCCTGTCCTCTGTGACATCTGCCTGCTACCACCCATGTCCACTATCAGCCTGTCCTGCTGTGACATCTACCTGCTACCACCCTGTCCACTACCAGCCTGTCCTGCTGTGACATCTACCTGCTACAACCCTGTCCACTACCACCCTGTCCTGCTGTGACATCTGCCTGCTACCAGCCTGTCCTGCTGTGATACCTGCCTGTTACCAACCTGTCCACTACCAGCCTGTCCTGCTGTGACATCTGCCTACCACCACCCTGTGCACTACCAGCCTGTCCTCTACCAGCCTGTCCTACTGTGACATCTACCTGCTACCACCCTGTCCACTATCAGCCTGGCCTGCTGTGACATCTGCCTGCTACCAGCCCATCTACTACCAGCCTGTCCTGCTGTGACATCTGCCTGCTACCACCCTGTCCACTACCTGCCTGTCCTGCTGTCACATCTGCCTGCTACCAGCCTGTCCTACTGTGACATCTACCTGCTACCACCCTGTCCACTATCAGCCTGTCCTGCTGTGACATCTGCCTGCTACCAGCCCATCTACTACCAGCGTGTCCTGCTGTGCCATCTGCCTGCTACTAGCCTGTCCACTACCAGCCTGTCCCGCTGTGATATCTGCCTGCTACCACCCTGTCCACTACCAGCCTGTCCTTCTGTGACAACTGCCTGCTACCACCCTGTCCACTACCAGCCTATCCTTCTGTGCCATCTGCCTGATACCAGCCTGTCCTGCTGTGCCATCTGCCTGCTACCAGCCTGTCCTGCTGTGACATCTGCCTGCTACCAACCTGTCCACTACCAGTCTTGTTCCAGGAAACCTTCCAGCAAGACATCAGCTATTACCCACGCAGGCCACTGGACTGGTCACAGTACTCATACCTCGCTGTGCTGTCATAGTTATTGTTCCTATAAAGAATAGTACCAGGGTCCTCAGACTACTGCTCAGCGTTCATGGAGTATCCCACAGCTCCCTATGCCCTATCCAAGTTATTCAGCAATACATTTCAAAAAGGCAACCTCTAGACTGCTCATTTAGCCAGAAGAGTGAGTCTTGCTGTGTGCCTGGCTGCTGCCGCACTAATCAGAGAAAGGAAAACAGCGGGCCCTGGGAGAGCGCTACACACAGAGGAAATACATACTGTACAGTGTATGGGAACAGTTTTAAATGCCAAAGGATCTGTAATTCTGTTCAGCAAGTTCTGAGATTTACATAGCCCTACCAGCCATCACAGCCAGGTTGGTGACCTAACCTTACACTACTGCAGTTACAGTAAGAAAGTTGGGACATTTTTCCTCCCCCGTCTTTGATTGACATTTGCCCTCCCCCAATGCATCTGCTGATAGAACAGAACCTTGGGGGCAAACTGTACATGCTCAGTTTGGTGTGTATTGCTACAGAGCTTTTTTTTTTTCCCAGGGAGAGTGCATGTGATCAGCACAGGGCCAACCAGCACTGTCCAGACAGAGGGTCTGGGGTTATGCAGCCTCATAGGGCAATCAGGAGAGAATAAAAATTCCTCCCTCCAAGCTTTAACCAGTGCTCTGCTGGACACTGATAGAAGTCACAAGACTGCTCTAACTGCTTATGAGAAAAGGTATTTATCAGTTTATATTTACTAAAATAATTGAATTTCCATGTTCTGTGTACTGTGGGAGACCAGATATAGTGAATGCAGGTTCATTGGTTTAATAGCACTTTAAGTTATTATTATCATTATTTTTATTATTTAGGATTTATATAACGCCAACAGCTTGAGCAGCACTGTACAACATAAAGGAGACAGTACAGTTACAAACAATACAATACAAGAGGGTTAAGAAGGCTTTGCTCATAAGAGCTTACAATTTAATAGGGTGGAGAAAGTAGTACAAAAGATAAAAGGTGATTCTGTTTCCCCTGCCCATCCTCTTTCCGAAGTGCCTGGTTTTTTTTTTTCAATTGGATCTAAACTTTGGATTTAAGTCTACTACAGGGAATTTAAAAAAATAAGAGGATAAAAAGTATTACAGGCAGAATTAAAATAAGCAGGTGAAAAGTATGCTTCAGAGACATGT